TATCCCTTGATCCAGGGATTTTCTGGAAAGGAGTTTCAGTGGTATGCATAGGGCACCTACCAGTCCCTTTACGACTTTAGATTGAATTCCATCCACACCTGAGGCTTTTGAGTCTTTTAGTTCGTCAATGCTCTTCCTGATTTTTTTTTTCAGATATATAGAAGAGTTGTTACATTCTTGTACAGCCACTAGTACTCGTAGCGTTTCGGGCAGGTCCCTGGAATACGATCCCCGCCGCGAAGAATCGTTGTTACAACCAAGTACACATTTTACTGTTGAGTTAAACAGAGGCTACAGTTAAGGATTTGCGCCCAGTAAATCCTCCCCGGCCAGGATACGAACCCATGACAAAGCGCTCGCGGAACGGCAGCCGAGTGTCTTACCACTACACCACGGAGACTTTTGGCCGATCTTATTTCCTGGGTGGCTGAATTTAGTGCCTATTTATATATTTCATAATCCATGATGTTCATTGTGAATTTATACCGTCTTCAGCGGTCCCGCTGAGTTAACAAAGCTCTTTTTACTACCTGTGTCATCCATCTAGTTCTCTTTCTTTCCTTTCTCCTTTTTGGCGCATATCTTTGAAAGCGTTCTGTGATAATGTTTTAGAAATTTTCCCTTTCTGTGTTGGGAAGATGCTTCTTCCCATGTGTAGAGGTGCAGAGGTGTTCTGCACCTCTGCACCTCTGCAATAATAAACTGCAGAGGTGTTCTGCAGTTTATTATTCCTTGATAAGTCTTCTCAATGGTAATCTAAAACGTTATCATCCTGGACCTTTACTCGAGTCGTTGTGTTCTTCAATATTGACAAACAAAATGTTAAATGCCTGACACAAGCCAATATTACCATCAGAGCCTCAGCACCTCCAAACTTATTTAAAAGACTTTACGGCTCTAAATAAGCCTCAGCGCAGAGCAATAGAAATCATTCCAATAACTCCCGTTGCCAGGGACGGAACGAGTACTCGCCTAATTGTGCTTGCGGGGGTTGAGCTCTGGCTCTTTCGGCCCGCCTCTCAACTGTCAGTCAACTGGTTTTTTTCACACACACACAGTAGACGGGACACCACGAGCGTAGCTCTCATCCTGTAACTATACTTAGGTAATTACACACCCAGGAAGCAGCCCGTAACAGCTGTCTAACTCCCAGGTACCTATTTATTGATAGGTAACAAGGGCATCAAGGTGAAAGAAACTCTGCTCATTTTTTTCCGCCATCCGCATGTTTCCGCTTGAATATTACATTTGTAATATTTGGTCCTGTGGCCCATCCCCAGGCCACAGGACTACGAATCCCGAGCGCTGTCCACTCAGCTATCAGGCCAGTGCTTAAGTCATAGTACACATGATACTGTCTTACCAGGATGCAACCAACAACAGTTGCCTAACTCCAAGCTACTTATTTACTGCTAGGTGAATGGTGGAATTAAGTGAAAGATTACGGGTCCAAATATTATTGTTCTGCCCGAGGTAAGGAGGATCGAACCCGGAACTGAGACGAGGACGCAGACCACTGTACTACACGACCAAGTCCCAATCTGTGAGAGGCTGGTTATCTTGAGATGATTTCGGGGCTTTAGTGTCCCCGCGGCCCGGTCCTCGACCAGGCCTCCACCCCCAGGAAGCAGCCCGTGACAGCTGACTAACACCCAGGTACCTATTTTACTGCTAGGTAACAGGGGCATAGGGTGAAAGAAACTTTGCCCATTGTTTCTCGCCGGCGCCCGGGATCGAACCCAAGACCACAAGTCCAGTGGTCTTGTGGTCTTGTGGTCTTCAGCCGGTCCGCTCCGCCGACCGGCTGAAGGCTTAATAACAACCCTCAATACAAGACACAATAGAGTTGATTTTATTGTGACCTTTACATTACTGAGCGTGTTAAATGGACTTCTTCAAATGGTTTAGTTCATTTATTATGCACCCCATACCCATCTTGTGGGCGGTAGTGGAAAGGGTTACAGAGGCACATAATGGGCTCAGGGACTGAACCCCACAATTCACTTAACTAAGCAAGCTAAGACAAACAATAGATGACTTTTACCCATAGGGAAATAAATTAATCGACTGTCCGATACCCAATGCCATGACAGGGCTTCCAGTCCCCGTCGAAGATACTGGAGATGACGGCACTGAGGTGAATTCAGAAGTAATTATCTTCTTGATACTTACATTCTCAAGACAATCGACTTGAGAATGGTCCAGGACGGACCGAAACGTCGTCGTCCCTACCATTAATGTATGATGACTTACTGTAAATATGTAGTTCTTGTAATAGCACTTTCTCTGTAACTAGCTGACATTGTAACTATAAGGTGTGAAGGATAGATGAAATTATTTATGTAATAATCTAAGATGATGTCTGATAAAGACCTTTTGTGCCCTCTGTAATGCTTTTGCGCTACCGCTCACAGGATGAGTATGGGGTGCACAATAAACTAACCGCCATCGGCGGCAACAATCAATCAATCGTCGTCCCTTCACCTTCTAGTGTGTGGTCTGGTAAACCTACTTCAGCCACGTTATTGTGACTCCTCGCCTGCATAAGTAATTATCAAAAGAAGGCACCAAGCCGGGACGGCTCTGTAGCACCACCAAATGTGCCGAGTAATCAGAGGGCGCTAAATATCACCAAGGATGCCAATACGAGAATAGAAACGCATAAGGCGAACGATATCAAAAATATTAACTCGAGCTATGAAATTATTTTACCTAAGTCTCTCATCCTGTACATTTTCTTTGGTAAAGCCTAATGATACTTCTTAACGATAACTAAACTAATAATTATATTTTACCTGTATGTACCTGAATTTACCTGAGGGAGACGATCTCTCTACTGGTCTCGACAGTGACTGGAAGTCCGATCTTTTTTAACTGGATTTTGAACTGAAGTAATGTCTCTTTACAGCTGAAGCGGGAAGGTGGTTCAAAGTTTCTAAATACTAAACTTGATCTGAAACTTTTCCTTAAAAGGTGTAAGAGAACCCATGAGCCCCACACCAGAAATAAATATCTCTTTAGAATCCCCAGTCAGGCTAAATCTGTGCAAACACTCCATGCAAATAAAAGGATCCAGTCTTTGGAACTCTCTTGAATTAAAAAATGTTCCAACCTATATCTTGTTCAAAAATAAAACCAAAAAGTACCTCATGTCAACCTCATAATTTCCTACCTCAAACTCGCCCTGTTCTTGTACTACCCACTTCCCTAATATTAGTACTTAAGACTAATTAAGTGCTCCATCTCAATCTAATTAAGTACTCCATCTCTACTAGTGTAATCACCTCTGTCAATTTATATTGATATAAAACCTTGCTATAATGTAATTTTTCACCTTACCTGATATGTTAGATTAAGGACCTGCCAGAGACGCTATGGGTGTCAGTGGCTTTGCAAAAATGTAAAAATATCACCAAAATAATCTCCCCAATGCATTGTACCCTCTTGTAAATAAAATATTGGTATTAGTATTATTATCATGAGTTAAATTCCCGATGGTAGAAAGCCTGTCTACATAATAATTTATAACATAAAAATTCATAACATAATTCATTGTGTCCAGAAACAGGCAGTTAGTGTGCGTGTGCATATATATGTCAGCCCATCCTCATAAACAAAGGGCAAAGACCATTCCATGCACCCGCCAAACCCCCAGGTGTTTATAAATGAAAAACGATTTACACACGACTCAACTGATGACGTCCGAACACTTCCTGAACAAGTGCTTCACTGACGACTTGTGTTCGAACCACAACGCTGTAAATGCTTCACCCACGTACTACAAATACAAATAATCGCTAACAGAATCTAAACACCTAACCTAACCTGTGCCTAAATATGCACAATATGCTAATATATAATAATATATATTAATATATAATATAAGACTGGCTGCACTTCTACTCAAATAGTTTGTATACAAACTGCTTGCTAGTACACTATGCTCATGTAGTTTGTATAGTAGATACCTTATTCATCCTGTGAGTCGTGGTGGACCCCATACCCATCCTGTGAGTGGTGGTGGACCCCCTAACCCATCCTGCGAGTAGTGGTGGACCCCATACCCATCCTGTGAGTGGTGGTGGACCCCCTAACCCATCCTGCGAGTAGTGGTGGACCCCATACCCCATCCTGTGAGTGGTGGTGGACCCCATACCCCATCCTGTGAGTGGTGGTGGACCCCATACCCATCCTGTGAGTGGTGGTGGACCCCCTAACCCATCCTGCGAGTAGTGGTGGACCCCCTAACCCATGCTGTGAGTGGTGGAGGACCCCATACCCCATCCTGTGAGTGGTGGTGGACCCCTAACCCATCCTGTGAATGGTGGTGGACCCCCTAACCCATCCTGGGTGTAGTGGTGGACCCCATACCCATCCTGTGAGTGGTGGTGGACCCCCTAACCCATCCTGCGAGTAGTGGTGGACCCCATACCCATCCTGTGAGTGGTGGAGGACCCCATACCCCATCCTGTGAGTGGTGGAGGACCCCATACCCCATCCTGTGAGTGGTGGTGGACCCCATGCCCCATCCTGTGAGTGGTGGTGGACCCCATACCCATCCTGTGAGTGGTGGTGGACCTCATACCCATCCTGTGAGTGGTGGTGGACCCCATACCCATCCTGTGAGTGGTGGAGGACCCCATACCCCATCCTGTGAGTGGTGGAGGACCCCATACCCCATCCTGTGAGTGGTGGAGGACCCCATACCCCATCCTGTGAGTGGTGGAGGACCCCATACCCCATCCTGTGAGTAGTGGAGGACCCCATACCCCATCCTGTGAGTGGTGGTGGACCCCATACCCCATCCTGTGAGTGGTGGTGGACCCCATACCCATCCTGTGAGTGCATTTATGGTGGAAAAAAGTTACAGAGGTGTATATAATTGGCTCAGAAACCGAACCACAGAAGTTCATTTAGGTAAGCAAGATGCAGCCTTGAACCTGGATAAGCTAGTTACACAATCTAAGATAAATAATAAACTAGAAATAATTTTAATTTACCTTTCATGCACCTTGCAGGCATGCAGTGAGGTGTGGCTGGTGGTGATATGACAGGAAGCAGGGCAGTGCCGTGTTGACATGACAGGGAGCAGGGCAGTGCCGTGTTGACATGACAGGGAACAGGGCAGCGCCGTGTTGATATGACAGGAAGCAGGGCAACGCCGTGTTGACATGACAGGGAGAAGGGCAGTGTCGTGTGGCTGATGTTGACATGACAGGGAGAAGGACAGCGTCATGTGGCTGGTGTTGACATGACAGGGTGCAGAACAGCGCCGTGTTGATATGACAGGGAACAGGGCAGGGCCGTGTTGACATGACAGGGAACAGGGCAGCGCCGTGTTGACATGACAGGGAACAGGGCAGCGCCGTGTTGACATGACAGGGAGCAGGGCAGCGCCGGGCAACACAATACTGGCTTAGGGGGCGTTCGCCTGCCTCTCACACTCTCCAACGACTTGGACTTTAGCTTCATTATAAACTATATACTGGAATTTGTATTTAAAGTATATGTTACATCATTATAAACATAATTGTATTGTGTTCAAAAATACTTTTATTATACCTACTTCTCCTATATTTTATATTGTGCTTTAAAATATTTAATTTAAATCGGTGGTGTACAGTGTGGATCGAACACAAACGTTCGCTAAGGTAGGTGTTCAACATTGAACACCTGTATACCACAACACCGGTGATGGGGGTGACAGGTGTCTGATTATTGGGCTCTAATTTGATAACAATTATAAACTAAGCTAATTAGAGCAAGTGACATACAAATTGAGAACAGTTGAGGGTTGAGAGCCACTGGACTAACAACATTGCAAACCGGATCTAAAATAATAATAATAATAATAATATTTTATTCAGGAAAAGTACATGCATAGATTCAAAGTTACAAACATAATGTTGGATTTATAGATAGAGCTAGTACATACAATATCTAAAGCCACTAATGTAGGCTTTACATTGTTGCAAGCTCAACAAGCCACAATGTAGGACTGAGAACAAGAGATGCTTTTTCACCCACAGGGTTATTAACCCATGGAACCGCCTACCCGCCGAAGCCGTAAATGCCAAACCTGTGTTACAATTACTTCCTAGTGCATTCCATTTGTTAACTATCTTGACGTTGAAAAAAATCTCTCTAATGTCTCTGTGGCTCATTTGAGTACTAATGTTTCCACCTGTGCCCCCCTTGTTCGTGTTCTGCAAATAGTTTGTCTTTATCCACCCTGTCAATTGCTCTGAGAATTTTGTAGGTGATGATCATGTCTCCTCTAATTCTTCTGTCATCCATAAGACATAATTGTAAATAAGTATGTGCCCGGGTGTATATTTACTATTTGTGCCTGCAGAATCGAGCTATTAGCTCTTGGACCCAACTTTTCTAAGCAATCAATTTTTTTTTCTCTATTGTATCTACTGCATATATTTATATCTAACAGACACCCCACCCCCCCTCAAGAAGCAGCCCGTAGCAGCTGTCTAACTCCCAGGTACCTATTTACTGCTAGGTGAACAAGTTCATCTGGGTGAAAGAAACTCTGCCCATTTGTTTCAACCATCCCGGGGATCGATCCCTGGATTACGAATACCGAGCGCTGTCCACTCAGCCACCAGGCCCCCAACGTGGTGCGTACTTACCTAGTTGTGCTTGCGGGGGTTGAGCTCTGGCTCTTTGGCCCTGGATTACGAATACCGAGCGCTGTCCACTCAGCCACCAGGCCCCCAACGTGGTGCGTACTTACCTAGTTGTGCTTGCGGGGGTTGAGCTCTGGCTCTTAGGTCCCGCCTCTCAACTGTCAGGGGTGTGAGTGTGTGTGTTATTACCAAAGTGTAGTTACAGGATGAAAGCTACGCTCGTGGTGTCCCGTCTTCCCAGCACACATATGTGTGGGAGCTGTGTATATGTTCTCCGTGGTGTAGTGGTAAGACACTCGCCTGGCGTTCCGCGAGCGCTGTCATGGGTTCGTATCCTGGCCAGGGAGGATTTACTGGGCGCAATTCCTTAACTGTAGCCTCTGTTTAACGCAATAGTAAAATGTGTACTTGGATGAAAAAACGATTCTTCGCGGCAGGGGATCGTATTCCAGGGACCGTAGGATTAAGGACTTGCCCGAAACGCTACGCGTGCTAGTGGCTGTACAAGAATGTAACAACTCTTGTATATATCTCAAAAAAAAAGTGTGCACATGTGTGTGTGTGTGTGTGTGTGGGAGCGGTGTGTGCGCGTGGCCAGGACCAGCCTGGTGGTGGTACTCCCAGCGGCCGCCAGGGTTGCCAGATCCAAATTGCGGAAAGTAGCGAGCTGACGGCCTAAAAGTAGCGAATTTGTAATAAGAGTAGCCCAATTTTTTTTAATTAGTAAGTACATATAAAATAATTTGTAATAATTAGTAAGTCCATAAAAATGATTAAAAAGTACAGTTTAGTCATAGGAGATTCCTAGATTGGAATTCACTACCAAATTTCGATATAGCCAAGTATTTTTAGTGTGAAATGCTGTTATTATATGCATAAATTGTTGTTTTAATAATATTACGCTTAACCACTTAGGTTGGACGGTAGAGCGACCGTCTCGTTTCCTACAGGTCCGCGTTCAATCCCCGACCGCCCAAGAGGTTGGGTACCATTCCTTTCCCCCGTTCCATCCCAAATCCGTATCCTGATCCCTTCCCAGTGCTATATAGTCGTAATGGCTTGGCGCTTTCACTTGATAGTTCCCCCACCCCCCTGAATAATATTACGAGAGCCGTATTTACGGGCTATTCATGCCCGTGCCACCTCTTGGGTGGCTTAATCTTCATCAATCGAGAGCAGTACGTCCTAACCAGACGTTATATGATGATATCCTCAACAGTTGATAAATAAAAGTAATTGCGGAACTCCAGTTATCTAATACTTATCATAAATGGTATAAAACCTTATCATAAGCCAAGGGATTTGTAGATCAGTGTTTAAAGGGAATTCGGAAGTATAATAACACAGCTGATGCCATCTGTCGGCACAAGAGAACACTATCAACTGGCTGGTCAACAGTGGCCATAAGGTACAGCTTACGCCATCTGTTGACATCAAATTACACCTATAACAAATTACCCCACAAAATACCACTAACGCCATCTAGTTTTTTTCCAACGCACTATAAATAGCCAAACAGCAACCCATAAGGCGGGTTGTTGTGCTCGGGTAGGAGGTTCCTAGCTCCGCCCACAGATGGTATGGAGTGCATAATAAATGGCATATCATTGGTAGAGATTCTTTGTTGACATTCACACAACAGCCAATCACAGGCAGGGATCAGCTAAAGGCTCCATCCACTTAATAAATCATCTTTATTCAGCACACCATCGATGCTTATGACATTCTGTTTCAACTTTAATCTATCTAAAAAGTGAAATGTTAAGTATTTAAAAGTATTAATATAGTGATAATTAAATATTGCAGGATGTAACGAGTGTTACAGAAACATGGGCTGGCTACCTAACTTGTGACGTCATCAGTGGGGGTTGCCTCACACAAATAATGATACGCTGCTCTGCCCTCTTATTCGAGTAAATTATTCAGTTAGATGGAGATTTCTGTCAGGTGCAAAACAGAAACTGTTGTTCTTTTTCACAACAACCTTGTTGTTGTGCACAAGGACCTATTTCTTAGTATAAATTTTATTTATAAAAGAGTGTTGGTATTCCTCGCAACAGCCAATCACAGGAAGGTATCTCTGGAAGCTCCGCCTCCTTATGGACCCAGCACATCGCTCTAGCTCATGACTGTTTCATCTCTTGTATATACAAACTATGACTTTTTTTTATTAGTTATAATTAATAATATGAGATATGAAAGTTTTTACACCAAATGGCTAAATTCTGCCATTAAATGGACTTTGTCTGGTATACATACAAACATACACCAATTTATTACCATTCATCTATTATTAATTTCAAATGTAATGTATACTGTCTAGTTTTTTCCTCTCGCCATTACTTGGTGCAATATTTGAAAGTTGTCTATTTATTTATCGATCTATCTATTATCTTGTATTTATATTTACAAGTTTCTGTGCTTGGAAGAAAACTCTGCATTGAATTGGGACTAATTTATTAAATAATATTATTTAGTATTAATTAATATTTACAATTATTATTAATTACAATTATTTATAGCTTAGTTACTTTCATGTAACTCGCAATCGTACATTCTTAACATTTATAGCCCAAATTAGCACATCTTGCTTTTAAAGTAGCCCACTTATGGTCAATCTCGAACCCATTGATGATGTGACGACGTATATTGAATTTTGTAACTAGCTCATCAAGATTGTAACTTGCTTAGCTAAATGAATTGTGGAGTTCAGTTCCTGAGCCCATTATGTGCCTCTGTAAGCCTTTCCACTAGCACCCACAAGATGGGTATGGGGTGCATAATAAATGAACTAAACTAAAGCTAATTAGCCCAAATTAGCACATCTTGCTTTTAAATTAGCCCAAAAAGTAGCAAGTAGCGAAATTAAACATTTGGGAGCGCGGGGCTCTCAAAAGTAGCCCAATTCGCTATTTGTCGCCCAGTCTGGCAATAGTGCAGGGACCAGCAACTGGTTGTCACCACCACACATTGCCCGCTGAAGCAACAACACTGGTGACTGGTAGAGATGGTTGTAGTGGTGACAGCGAGCCTGGTGGTGAGCCTGATAGTGAGCCTAGTACAGGCTGAGGAACATGGCTCCAACACCATCACCTTCACCGCTGACACCTTCACTCAGTCACTCGACGGAAAGCCCCAGTTTGTCATGTTTTTTGCCCCGTGGTGAGTCAAATTGTTAGTATATACTCAAAACTGATCTGTTAAGTTGTGGTGTTATTCTACAAGTTTGAATCTAGGTAGTTTGAGGAGTGTTTAATGTAGAGGTTCCTTGTCTAATGCCCGTGTCCATGACTACAGGGGTACAGGACACGGGCATTTCCCTTTGGTCGTATGGTACATAATATATGTATTTGAGTCGAGTTTATGGTACATAATATATGTATTTGAGGCGAGTTTACCCGAGGGATACTGTCTCTTAGTACTTTGTCAAAGGTTTCCCCATTATTCTTGAGGTTTTATCACCTATGGGTTTAAAAAGTGTTTTGTTAGTCTCATTGTGGCTTGAATCTTGTTTCCCCATGTTTTGTCTTGACAGGAAACCTCTTTATGTATATATATAGCTATATAATCACTAAAAACTCTTTGACCCGGCCAGGATTCGAACCCATGCTGTCCAGGATCACCCCTAAACGTACACAGTACCGTGACCACCGCACCAATGATCGAATCCTAGCCGGGTCAAAGAGTTTTTAGTGATCTATGGCTTGCGCGTTCATGCAGCTTTCTCACACATAGCTATATAATATATACAAGATTTGTATGAATTCCTCGCCCCCCCCCTCCCTTTTTTCCAAAATCAAGGTCGAACTGCTGGCCTTTCTCGGAATTCGACCCCACAACAGTAGTCAAACTCCCGGGTACATATTTGCTGCTAGGTGAAGAAGTGTATTAGGTTAAAGGAAATGTGACCCACTATTTCTGGCCTTTCTGGGATCCTCTGATTCTGAGTCAAGAATAAGGCCATCTGTACAAAAGGGATTTGGGTCACTTTGTACTCAAGACTTTACAAATAGATTTTGAAACCTATCTACCCCCATTCAACCATTTGACCATAACCCATTTATTGGGTACAGTCAAATTTTATACTGTATAGGCATTTTGACAAAACCATTTTGGTATGAACAATCTTGGGTACAAAATTATCTGTAGATCTGGGATTGCTGCATTACTTCAAACAAAGATTAGACATGTATATGAATGAATTTGGGTGGATATAAATAGAAGCTGCCTCGAATGGACCAATAGGCCTTTTTCAGTTTCCTTTTCCAGTTTCTTCTTTTGTCTATATGTATTAACTCGATCAGAGAAAGTCAAATTGTGCATAGACATTTTCAACTTAATCTGAGCTCAGATGTAAACATGCCATCATCACATTAATTAGTTTAAAAATTGGTAGCCACGTGCTTTCAACAAATTACTTAAGGGCCCAGAAATACATTGCTCAGACCAGCACTTCAAACACAAAGGACATGTAATGGCCTAACTAAAAGCACATTTACATTCATTCATCAACATTGGCTTGTACACAGGCAAATGCAAACGCTCACCTGCTTACACGTTCTACCTCCACTGACACTATATTATGTAAATTAAATTTACCTGAATTTACCCGTGGGTCACTTAGCACACTAGTGGCCTTGATGGGAACAGGAAACTGGTAGCTGGTCAAAGTTCCCCCAACATTTGTCCTGATGACTTTTTCAAGCTGGATTTTAAAATTCGGCAGTATTTTGGCATTTATGACTTTGGCAGGTAGGCTGCTTCATGGGTTTATAGTCCTATGAATGAAAAAGCATCTCCTGGTTTTCTGTCCTACATTGTGGCTTGTTGAGCTTTAATATTACAAATGGTTTAATGATAGTATGTTCAGTTCCAGTTGCTACTCATGATCTTCATTATACTGTATTATAAACATATACTACACACGTTTCCACCAGTGAAACTCCTTAAAACATGACTGATATAACCGTCGGCACAATTGACTTGCTTTTTTAATACAGTATAGGCTATCCATTGAAGAAAATGCATTCCACAGCAAAGCATGAATTAGCATAGCTCGGTTCTGGGGTTTTGCCTGTTACATATAGATCATATCATAGTCTTGGCCTCAATTGGGTAGGACCCAATACAGTATCATTGACAAATTGTGATGATAAATCTTGCATATACTGTATAAGCCTTTTGAGCCCCCAACTCAAACAGGTTATGTTACTACAGTATGCTTAAATGTAGTTCTTTCAATTTATACCATAACTTTTGTAAAAAGAATTTATTTGTTATTTTTTAACCCACCCAGAATGTTGGTAACATCCTAATGTGTCTAAATACTGGCAACATTATCCTAACAAATATTCGTATTGAATTGGGATGTGGTGTGAGCTACACTGAACTGAATGGTGACAAACGATACTGTATATGTACTTGAATCCAGTTTTACAGCTTTATTTAGCTTGGTTCCCTACATGATATCTGAAATAACACATTAAATGTATCAGAAGGGAATTGCATATCTTCGTAATAATGAATCCCTATAACAAGAACAAATGAATAGAATGTAATGAATAAGATATTTAGAAATATCACACCACCAATATGTGTGGGTCATGAATTTTTTTTTCAGGTTTAACTCTTCTTCCTTTAGCAGTAGCTCCTAATGAATTTTTTTATTAATTTTATGTAAAGTAATTCTTTGACTCTAATAAAAATTCTGCGCTGTTATTTTTTATGGCGGATGTAGCCGTTTTGCAATTGCTCGTGTCCTGGCTAGGTGGTTTTTCCATGGTTTTAACCATTTTTCTTTTATTTTGTCACTTGTGAGTTGAAAAGATGTTTTCTAGTTGTAATACAGTTTAAAGTAGAAAGAGATAAATAGACATATCCTAGCATGGATTAAAGGATAAAGAGGAAAGTGAGCAAGCCTGGGAAGTGTTGGGTGATGTTGTTGTTGTTAAAGATTCGCTACCTGGAACAAAAAGTTCCAAGTAGCACGGGCTATGGTGAGCACGTGGTGTTGGGTGAGACAACTGGTGGCCATGTATCAAAGTGGAAAATACCCAAGAAATCAAGGCATACGGAGTTAATGAGTCTCCTTATCAATAGATTATACCTGGAGAGGGTTGTGGGAGTAGTTCTACTTCCCAAGCCCGGCCTGAGACCAAACTCGACTTGCGATTATGCAGTAGCATAGTGTGGCAGTTTTATGCAGTGTTTGTTTTGTATTGAATGCAGTATTGTGCTTGTAAAGTAGTGCTTCATGTATACCCACATTCCTGCTACATGTATCAATGAAGAAAAATAAGCCCTTCTCATAGGTAAGAAATTTATCCCCCTTCCCCCCCACCCTCCCTTAAATTTGTACCTCTTATTCCCCCTATTTTACTTTCTAGTACAGTACTGTATATTAAAAATGCATTTTATATATAATTTTCTTAAAAAATGTGTTCTATCATTTAGGGTTGGGAAAAATGGGGCAAAAGCTCGGTGGATCTGAATCCTTAATAGAGCAGTGATTTGGGGGTGGCACAGTACTATATCTATTGATAATTTTTTTTTCTCAAGGTGCAAGTAGTAGTACTTTTATAGAATCCAGTTTAGGCCTTAACAAATAATGATAAATTAGCAGTAATTGCGATAACTAAGCAAAAGTGTAACCTACTAACAAAAGCCACTAACATGCCACTACACCTAAAGTGTAGTGGCTTTGCAAAAATGTTAGAACACCAATGTTATGTACTCCCACAAACCGAATATACTTCTTGTACTGTACAGTATATAAATAAATTATTATAATAACAATAAAATAAAGGCACTGATAAATGGAAATGTTTTAGTTCAGAATCTATCCTGGACACAAGAATTCTATTAAGGGGCAATCGGATTTAATACCAAAATGAACAGAGCAATCCAAATTTTTGACCCATCTCATCTTTAACGTTGCTACAGGTCTTTCCTGTGCATACTGGCTTTTTGTACATCTGTACGATACTGGGTAGTCTTTTATTGTTCCGGAATGTAATTTTTGTTTACATTTAAATTTATGATTGATGTGTTTTTAGGTGTGGTCACTGCAAGCGGTTGAGTGCGACCTGGGACGACCTGGGGAAGAAGTACAACACAGAGAAGGCGGAGGTCGTGGTGGGCAAGGTGGACTGCACTCAACACACTGCACTGTGCTCCTCCCAAGACGTCACGGGATATCCTACGTGAGACACCTTACATTACGGTCGAGGAAATTTTATTGGGACAAAAAATCATGGCCTTCAAGGATGGTGAATACCAATTGTGTGATAATCATGGCTCTCATTCTTATTTGCATTCATATTGGGGCTTAAATATGATTTTTACAGTATTACAATCTTATTGCTGCTTTTTACAGTATGATATTAGTTACCACATTTTCTTGCCATGTGTAATATGAAATCAGATTGTCTCCTGTTTTTTTTCTTGAATTAGAACCACTGCATCTGTCCAAACATATTCATGTTTTTGTTTTTTCAGCCTGACCATATTCAGTAATGCACTCATTTGAACTTTGTTAAAATGAGTTTTTATTTTTGTTATTTTTTATAAACCCAGTTCCTTTTGTTCTTTAAAGTATTTTGTACAGTCGTACAATATGAACAATATGTACAATAGTCAGACTAAAGTATGCAGTTCAGTCTTGAGATTAGCATTTTTGGGTCTAGCTCTCCTATGACTTATCCTCCCTGTGTACTCTTAATAGTGTTCCAATGACACATTTTAGTGTTGCTCATTATACTGTGAAGTCAGTTCTGTGAGTCAGTCTGGTGGTACATCTTAGCCACATCTGATTTCAAATTTTGCAGACTAGTTAATTATTTCTGAGAGGGGGAAGCTGCTCCTCCTTCCCCTCAGTGGCTGCCTGAGTTAAGTGCTGGCAAAACCATGCCTTTGGGTAATGCACCAGAAGCCAGGGCCAAAATTTAGTGCTGTCTGCAAGGTGAAGAGAAGCTTGGGGATCAAAGATCTGTCTAATAGAAACAATTTACTAGAGCATACATGCAGGAAAAACAAGCGACTGAAGAAAAACTAGGAATCTCAGTGGTGATGAGGTAAACGATCGTTGGTGCAGCATAAACCGCTTGACTGCCACCAAGGTTTCCAGCAAGTTTACCTGCTCCTTCACTCGCCTGATTGCTATATTGTACAAGAAGCATGGAACCTCTTAATCAGGGCACATCTTCTGCTTCACATTTTCAGTCGAGTGGTCTTGGCTATTCCTGGACCCCTTGATTGTTCTTTGGGGAGGGGAGAGGGGGGGGCATTGCTTTGTTATTGTTTTCTTTCTCCTTCATGATTGTGTTTTATGTTGCCCACATTATGTGTGCCTTAACTTTGCATTTTGCTAAAACTGTGTGCTAGGGCTCTTTTTCTTGGTAGTCTGTTTACATTTCCCTTGCCTCACAAGATACACCTGTTCTAGGAGGTTCTGGTTCCTACTCAGGAGTCAACTTCCTTGAGATGCCTTGCATGCATCCAGATAGAGCATGGGATGAGTTCCTCATGACAAGGCTTGTTGATAGGAAGTGTAGAAGTTAGCTGTATTCTTGTGTTGCCATTATACTTTTTGTGGGATTTAGGGTTTTGTACTTTCATGGAGGGTGCACTTGGTTAGCATAAATGGTTGTTCATGTCCACGGCTGCAGCTGCCTTCCCTCACTGGCTGGTTGTTGTCGGGATTAGATGTTTAGCCAAGACACTTTTTGTATGCCTAGCACGCCTGCCTGTCTGCTAAACACCACTTACTAAGCACAACTAGGTCATGAGTGCTGGGCCCCACTCCCAAATAAGTAGGACTTCAAAAGTCATACTAAAGCTACCATGTCCCAAGAATAAATCATCAGCATCAGATAAGATAACTATTCACAGATGACTTTGCTAACTGGTATCTTGGGAAAGATAACCCTGAAAAGCACAGCTAAAGTAGGCTAAAAATAAAAAAAACATGAGATGCCATAAAATATCAGAAAATCATTGTGGCAAGAAAATCCAGTCATTTACCTGATGGCAAGGTACCAGGTGACGAGTGTGTGTGAATGGCTGGAGGTAGGAGGAGGAAGCAGTCGGGTGGTATTTTAGTTAGACATAGTTTTGAGCTTTGCTGTTCATGCCAAACATTTCTGCCAAACATTTCTCTTGAGCATTTTGAATTTTTGTGACTATCTTTTGATTTTATTGGTGGGATTTTTCTCAGTGGGATGGACATCCTCAGGATCCCCATCTCCAAAGGGAGGGTTAGAGGGGCAGGATTCTGCTCCCTGCTCCCAGTAGGCTATGAGATACAGTAGTGCGAGATGGTTAGCGATGATGATGGCCTGGAGGTACCAGTGCATAAGCCTCGGGAAGCTACTTTAAGGGCCACATCAGAAAGTCAAAATTTTCCCTAGTGTCTTCTGGGTATGGAAGGGCTGGTGTTCACTGAATCGTGTTAATTATAAGCAACTATTTTAAGTACTGTACATTATTTCTAATTCACAAGACATCACATAGAGTAACTAAGAGAATTTAGGTTCTCTCCTATTGCTATACATATTACGTACATACAACAACTAATCTGCCTGTTGCTAATATAAATCTAGCTCATAGTGCAATTGTCACTAAATAAAGGAAGAGTTGTCATTCCATTCAGGTGGGCTTTAGGAGACTCGAACCCTGGACCTCACGTGTGCGAGGCCGAAGCTCTATCCACCGAGCTATTGCAAAATTGCAATAGTTGAATACAATAGTCAAACTTATTGCGTAGTCTTAATAAGGAAAGTTTCCAGAAACCCAGGTTAATGGAATGTTTATTTCCACAGAAGTGTGGATGATGATTTACATGACGTGAGCGTGGATCACTAATTCCTCTGAGCTTCAGTAGTAGTCAGGGAAAGTTGAAAAATCCAGTTTGGCAGCAGGATGCTGCTCGTGGAAATTTTCCATATTAAGACTTCTTAATAGCTCGATCGATAGAGCTTCGGCTTCACATATGAGGGGTCTGTGGTTTAAGTCTCCGAGAGCCCAGATGAATGGAATGTTTATTTCCACGGAAATGTGGATGACAATTTATAAGAATCTAAATTTTGTTGTTTATCATACAGAAATTGAATTAAAACATTTCAGGTGGATATAAACAAGCAAAGTTATTTTAACATTGGCCAATAAGAATGAATGAGACATTTATCAAGAAACCCATGAAAATAACCAAGTGGTATCATTAATGTTTCAAAAGTCATTTCTGAGAGTGGTAAATTTTGGAGTGTGACTTTGTTATGATACTACCTCTAGAGAAGTCAACACACTTTTTAATTTGCAAAGTAGTGTGGCATGCCATTGGGGGGTTCAGAGTGTTATGTTGTTGGATTTATATCCTTATGTTAATTACTGAACCAGTTAGTGTTAATACTTACATTGGATTCAGCTAAGGGTTCTTTCTTCATGATCACGAAAATTCCTGATCTTTCCTGAAATTAAATTCCTGAAATTAATTCCTGAAATTAAAAATTCACCCTCTCTTGTAAGCTGTGAATGGTGGGGTGAAATCTGTTTATTTTTGCGTAACATGATTAAAGATCAGTAACCCAGCCCACTCATAATTAAATTGGTGATGTTATAGTCCGTGCTGGACCTTTATTGAGTCCTGCTAGTTTTTTTTTTTTTTCTCTCTACCACAGACGTGGCCACACATTTACAATGCTAACCAGCATATATACATTTTCTTCTGTCCTCCATGGACAGGGTTAGAGATGTGTTAAACATATAGTTCAGGAATTAATTGAACACTCAACCACAGAAGGTGATTCGGTGCTTTTAAAATGCTAAGCTAACCTACATACGTAAATACATAGGTACACAGATTTACGTATGCCCTATATAAAGTGTTTGATGTGTCTTTTACATAGTGTCATTAATGTACATTTACAAAGGTGAAATGTAATTCTGATCAGCTTCCATATATACTTTATACATATACATACACACACATGCATTCACATACATTTGTCTCTCTTACTCTGACAGGGTGAGATACCTGATAAAGAAACTAGTGTGCAATTAAGCTGGATTATCTGTTTCACGCATATCATTGTGAATTTCTCTGCACATGGTAAAAGACAATCATATAATGAGTAACTTCTTTACATGGCATGTTTAGGTTGAAGCTGTTCAACAAGGGGGCAGAGAATGGTGTGAGGTACCGAGGCCCCAGAGACTTGGCTTCACTCGAGAGATTCATCTCTGAGCAACTTGGCACAGAGGTGCAGGTTAGTAAGGTCTTGTGTGTTACTCTCAATAGTACCTCTTTTAAGTTTTTGAGTATTCTAGGCAGAAGTATTTGTTAGTAATGTACTAGGTACATTACTAACAAATACTTTACTAGTACATAATTTACTAGTACACTGCCACTTTACTAGTACATAATGTACTAGTAAAGTGGCAGATTGACAATATTCAACATGAATGGGTATTCATAATACATGTACAGTATATGAACAATTACATAAACTAATGTATAAAATAAGTAGACTTGTAGCATAACGGGATAACTATTTATGGACTCGTAAATATGTATGTACAGGTGGTATTATTTTGACCACTGCACCATAATTAAATTTGACATGCTGCTAGTGTGCAGAAAAAATGATTATGCTCCCCACCTCCCAATTTTTTCTTGCTAATATTGTTGAAATGCACTCCCATTTCATAGAAAACTTAAAAATATATATTATATGTGACGTACTTAGATACATATTATTATATTTTCAATTATTAATACTGTGCTAAATTATTACTACATGTATTGTGCTGCATTCACAGTGCTCTACTTCAGCCAGGTATTGTTGGTATGACTGTATTATTATTTTAGGTAATCATAAACTTTTTATTTTTTTCATAGAATGGTGAACAGCTGTCAGTGCCAGAAGCACTTACAGGCTTGGTCGAGTACACTGATGTGACCTTCAAGTCTGTAGTGGCCAGTGGCAAGCACTTTGTCAAGTTCTACGCTCCTTGGTGTGGACATTGTCAGGTGAGGAGGTCTTATCCAGCAAAATTTCAATCTTAATAATAATAATAATAATATTTTATTTATTTAGGAAAAGTACATGCATAGATGCAGTTACAAACATTCTGATTGATTTATAGATAGAGCTAGTACATACAATACCTAAAGCCACTAGTATGTATAGCGTTTCGGGCAAAAGGCTGTCTGTTCGGACGCTTAGGCTGTCGGAATAACTGTACACAAGTGCTGTGACCCCTAGTTGCCTGGTAGTCAGTAAATTGTATAATGAGTACAAACAGTGGTCTACTCACAATTGAAGGACCTGGCCATAGTCAATAATTTTCAAGTTCACTAGGTGTAATATGATTTCTCATTAATATCTTCCAGGTCCATAAAAGTCCTTTAAATTTTGCATGACGTCAATGGTTTCTATCATAAGCATCAGTCAACATATGATGAAGCACTTCACATAAGGAGACATATTAGTGAAAAAGGTTACAGGCAGGTGCAGTCATAGCTTATGGACCTTCAAAGTTCATCAGCTTCTTGTAATTTTATTGTATTTTGGACATGGCTTCCATGATAATATTCCCGGAAGTGTAATATTAGTACAGTAGTTTGGTGACGATGTGTGTCGAGTATTTTGTGTTGTATGTTTGTAATGAATGTTAATTTTTTTTCCTTTTCTCCATCAAGAGACTCACTCCTACCTGGGAATCCTTGGCCAAGTCTTTTGAACATGACAAGTCGGTTACTATTGGAAAACTTGATTGCACTCAGTTTCGGCAAATTTGCAATGATTATGAAGTGAAAGGCTACCCAACGCTACTATGGATTGAGGATGGCAAAAAGGTATGTTTTTTTTTTTTATTTCTTTTCATACTAATGTTGATTCTCTATCTAGCTGAATGTTTATTCATTCATTTTGTCCATGGTAAGCACTTAGAAGTGATTGATATGGTAATTCCAGTATGTTAAATGCTTCAAGTTTTATTAGTTAAAAATGTATACAAATGTTTACAATTCTAGCTGGACTGAAGAGGTGTGTAGTTATAGGAGGCTAAAATTTTAAGATGTGAAAGAACATGTGTAATAAAAAATCTTATGGAACAATGTGGTGTAATTGAACTTGCATCCTTTGTCACCCATGATGGCGGTTTAATTCCACCACTTTGCTCTAAGAGATTTTCTTAGTTATATGACGCTATTGAGGTTGCATGGTACAACATATATACAGTAGACCAGACCACACACTAGAAGGTGAAGGGACAACGACGTTTCGGTCCGTCCTGGACCATTCTCAAGTCGATTGCTCGACTTGAGAATTGTCCAGGACGGACCGAAACATCGTCATCCCTTCACCTTCTAGTGTGTGGTCTGGTCAACATACTTTAGTCATGTTATTGTGACTCATCGCCTGCATATACTGTATACAGTAGCTCAAAATTTGAGTGGTCACAAAATTGGCAAAAAATAGCACATCATTTCAATGATGAGGCTTAAATAGGCTAAATATAACATTAATCTAAAATAATTTGCATTGGCTGTGTAATTTATGAGCATGTAGCATAATAAACAAATCCACAAGGGCCGTGACAAGGATTCGAACCTACGTCCGAGGATTCATTATGCTATTGTGATTTCTGTGTATAATGTAGCATAAGATTTTAATTATATGACATGAATATGAAAATGAGTTCAGCAGCAGATTCAGGGGTTAGTCTGGATCTCACTCGGAACACTGCTTGTGCAACAGGGATTCAACTTTAGCACACCTGATTTAAATTGTCTGCAAGGAATATTTTTCCTGCATTCCCTGAGGACTTGTTGCTTGCTTGTTGACCTGCTACACCAGTATACTCATTGTCCATTCTTAAGGTATATTTTCTTGCAATTGAGTTGATGTTTCTAGTAAGAGATAAGAAAATCCCTGTTAAGAGCAGGATCGCCAGAAGGTATAGGTACAACAAAACAATCAACTGTGTGAAGGAAATTAAGCACCTCCAAGGAAAACAAGACAACTGATTGTTGTGCAAGCATCACTATAACCGTGATGCTTCCAATTGCCACCAAATGTTGGGCCAAGTTACCCGGCATTTCGTGTTAATGTTACTCGTGACATTTCCCAACTCCATGGGAATGAGTAGCTACTGTGTGACCCACTAGAAAAGGTTGTATAATTCGATTCAACATTTAATTTCTGGGAGAGAGTCCTCGATAGCTTCTAGGGGGTTACTTACAATATCACCTGAATATAGGTGGTTAGCTTCTTCGGAATGGAAACAGGATTAGCAAAACATAAATGGCAAACTGAGCTTACCCATGAAAGTTGGTCAGCTGTGCACCACCACACACACCCAGGGACAACACAAGTGCTGCAAAGCCAAGGGACATCCACTAAATAACGAGAGGCTAACACCCTGTTGGATTGCCAGGAGCCACAAGCCCGGATATTGGCCGTCACAATGAAAACCATGAATATGATCATTTATTTCTGGGATGAATGCCTTGATGCAGCAGGTTTTCCTTGTTCCTTGCTCTGTGCCTTTATGATTGTGGACTTGGGCTCGGTTTGTTTGCTTTGGCTTCGTGAATGTTGGCCGTGGTCTTGCTGGCCTGGCTGTTGTGATGGCACTGGGTTTTATATGACTTGGGTTCTGGCCAGCTGTTAGTCTGTCCTGGCTCCCAAATGCTGTGTGTTTCCTGGCTGCTGTTTGAACTTTGACCTTGGTCTGGTTGGTCCACCTGGATGTCGACCTTGGTTTTGCCTGGGGTGTCCCTTGGCCTTGCCATACTCATTACACCTGTCTTTTGGCACTACTGATAACTCTCTTCTGTCATCTTCTCTGGGTTAATCTTGGAAGCATTTTTCTATTTAATGCTGTATTCCTTTGAGAAATGCTGGCCTTCTCTGAGGGGCCATTGTGGGTTAGCTCAGAGAGCTATTGAGAGGTCAATCCCCTCTGAAATCAAGTACTGAAATGCCCTTCTCAGGTGAAATCCTTAGTCACTCATCATTCCTGCTCTGTACCTGCCTTCCCCATGAGGTGGACAGGGTTTGGTTTGGGTGGCTCATGAGTGAAAGGCAGGCTGCTTGAGAATCTACGTGACCTGAGCTGCCACCTGGTGGCAATCAAACACATCACATTTTGAGTGTTTATGCCGTGGCAATGGAGGAAGTATACATGTTATGGCCTCCTTTCATTAATTTAGGGCATACTACTTCAGCACTATGTTTATCTTGAATTTCCATCTGCTTTCATGCCTCGGGTAAAAGATCCTTATCCCCAATAGATAGTGTGTTTAAAATACCTGGTGCGGGGTACACCTGTGCAGTAGCAGGCAATGCCAAGCATGGGGAAGCTACCAAAACATGGCATAAAAAGGGCATTCCACTTCAGTCGAAACACTTGAACAATTCATATAGTAAAGTCATGGAGATTAGGGGTTATTGTAAATAGAGAAATGCAAACTAGGGAGACTCCTTTATATGCTCTATATGCTTAAGATTAGAAATAACGTTTCCAATTTGTTTTGGCTAAATATGCTACGTTTTTAAAGCACTAGCTACATTTGTTTTTGTGCTGTACTATGTGTAATTGATGTTAAAAATATATTTTATTGTATCACTGTTAGAGGTTACTTTTAAAATACTTGGATGCTGATATTGGGACATACTGACAGACATAATGTGCATATAGTCAGAATGCTAAACACTATCAACTTTATAAATTCTGACTGAACAGTATTCTGTAAATAATAATTTTTTTCAGATTGAAAAATATACAGGGGATCGTAGCCATGAAGATTTGAAAGAATTTACAGTTCGTATGCTTGGAGACGATGCTGGTACTGAGCAGAAGGAAGATACAAATGAGCCACTGCCTCCCGTTATAGTTCTTACGTCAGAAAATTTTGAAAATGCCATTGAAAAAGGATATACGTTAGTGAAATTCTTCGCACCATGGTAAGCTCTACTACCGTCGACACGACTCTGCCTAGCCTCCCTCCATCTTGTCCTTCTACCTCTTGTGTTCATCCTTTTGTCCAGTATGCTTATCTGGTCTTCAAAAGTACAGTAACACAAAGTCTGTGATACTTTACTCTTCTCATAGTGTCCTTCTCTTTTCACTTCCTTCTACTCATGATAAATGCATTTTCTTTTCAGTATCTTTAAATATCTTTTCATGTTTTTTTTTGTGCTGAAGCCTTTCTACCCTATGGCTGGTGGTCCTTTGTGCTTCCTGTGAAATGGTTGCCTCTGCATTGCTACATCCTGCAATGGTTGCCTCTGCATTGCTACATCCTGCAATGGTTTCCTGTCCTCATAATTTCCAGTGTGATGTTCCAGCCTTCTGCCTCCTTTAATGTGATAAATGATGCTGATTCTTCCTATGATTGTTCTAGTTTACACTATTCAGTATCTCATTTGATTACTTTTGTAGAGCTTACTCAGTATTATTTTCTTTACAAATGTCTAATTTGATATTATTTTGTATAGGTGTGGCCACTGTAAACGCATGGCTCCAACCTATGACGAGTTGGGTCGGAAGTTTGTTGGCCACGGCGAAGTGAAGATTGGAAAGGTGGACTGTACGCAGGAGGTGAATAGAGGCTTATGCAGTGAACAAAATGTAAGTTGCAACTGGATTTAATAATCATAACTGCACATTTATTATTTGGTGTGTCAACATGCAAAGTAGCTGCTTATTCTTGAGGTTATCTCGAGATGATTTCGGGGCTTTAGTGTCCCTGCGACCCGGTCCTCGACCAGGCCTCCACCCCCCAGGAAGCAGCCCGTGACAGCTGACTAACACCCAGGTACCTATTTTACTGCTAGGTAACAGGGGCATAGGGTGAAAGAAACTCTGCCCATTGTTTCTTGCCAGCGCCCGGGATCAAACCCGGGACCACAGGATCACAGGATCACAAGTCCAGTGTGCTGTCCGCTCGGCCGACCGGCTCCCTTCCCTACATGCATTTCCCAGGGACACTAGTATAGTGAATGTAAAACAGGGGGCATGAAATAAGGGAACTTTAATGAAGAGTGTGTGTTTCCCATATTATTTATTTAGTATAAATTGAGTGTTAGGTATCAAGAAGTTGCTAAGGAATATGTGATAAGCTTGTCTGATCACATAAGCATTAAATTTAAAATGGGATTGAGTGGTAAATGTATGATCCACAAGATCAAAGAAGTGAAATGATTAAAATTGTTAAGTTGAGAGAGAGAAATGGGGGAGGGGGGGAGGGGGTAGGGGTAGGTTGATCAAGTAAAAACGGTTAGTCGATAGTAATCTTAAAGCAAGACTGTAAACAAATGAACCTTGGTGTGCATGTATATAAGAACAATTTGGTTAAAACTTTGTGGAGTGTGTTGAATTTGGAGGCTGCAAGTACACAGCTCTGGAGTTGACGGTAGCAAGTCATGACGGGTGTTTTGACTGTGATACTGTGACGGAGTAGACAGGATATTGGTGTTGCTGTAAGCATAATTAGGTACATGAAAGATTGGATAGCTTGTGTCAAGATCTTGTTAGTATATTTGCATGTACAAATTGGGAAGGCTGAAAGTGTATTGGGGTGTACAAACTGATAAGAGATTGAAAGAAGTGGGATAAGGAAGTTGTAGGGCAGTTCATGAAAAAAAAAAAAATAAGATTCAGTTGATAAGAAATGAAAGAAAAACAAAACACGAATAGTGTGGTGAAAGTAAGGGCTGTGACTTGCTTGCTTAATTAGAATCTCTTATTAATAAGATAAGAGATTGAAAGAAGTGGGATAAGGAAGTTGTAGGGCAGTTCATGAAAAAAAAAAAAAATAAGATTCAGTTGATAAGAAATGAAAGAAAAAACAAAACACAATAGTGTGGTGAAAGTAAGGGCTGTGACTTGCTTGCTTAATTAGAAATGCCAAGAGGGAATGAGAGAGATCAGAAAAAGAGTACCAAAAGATTTGCATGTAATCATGTGCTCAACACTCCAGATGACTGGCATCCCAGGTGCACCTCTGGTGGTGTCATATCAGGGTGCTTATTGCCATCTTCCCATTCACCTGCAGTTCAGGGATTGATTGGGGTTTCGAGTGGAGTAACTCGGCTACCAGTTTTTTGTGCTCAAAATTTTAGTCTTAGAGTTGGGCACCATAGGCCTATACCAGATGGATCTGGGTGTCATTCACAGATAAAATAAAAGGGCATAATCATACTGCAACTATATCTTGTCCTTGTTAAGCCGTATAAGATTATGAAGTTCAGTTTTGGTCACCATACTATAGAATAAACATGTGCAATATTCACTTTGACATGTACAGGGATGAATGACAGTTAATATCAAGAACTGCATTAGATGCTCCCTGCTTGATGAGGTTCTGGGAGTTCTTCTACTCCCCAGGCCCGGCCCAAGGCCAGGCTTGACTTGTGAGAGCTTAGTCCACAAAGCTGTTGCTTGGAGCGGCCCGCAGGCCCGCTCCAAGCAACTGCACAATATGAGGCAGACAGAGCCAGGCCCACACAATATGAGGCAGACAGAGCCAGGCCTACACAATATGAGGCAGACAGAGCCGTTCATTGGACTGGTAAAGGCGATTATTTTATTTTATTTAGGCAGCTGATGGATGCAAAATCATCAAATCACTAATTATTTTGCAGGTAAATGGATTCCCAACACTGTTTCTATACAAAAATGCCAATCAGATTGGCGAGTATAATGGCGATCGCTCTTTAGAAGACATGGTCTCCTTCATCACCAGACATCTGGAACACGATGAGCTTTAGATTGTGCCGTAATCACGAGGATTTTAGGTTAAAGCTGTTGTATTAGATTTCTAATAGATTAATATTTTGCAGTGTACTTAACAATCTTTCATCCTCCAGTTCATGCATTCAAATTATATACAGTACCTGTTAAAGAATGAATTAGCATTTTGATTAGATTACTTTTTGTAAATTATGTTAGCTAACTAGTAGGTGTTCATAAATAATTTTGTATTAATGATTCTTCAATATTGTTCATCAAATGTTACATACTAGTTCCTAATTATTAAACAATTGTAAATTTTTTTATATCTTTGATGTCTTGTTTTCTTGAGAGATTTCCTCTTTGTTGTTTTCTTAAACATCTCTAAATCACCTCCCAGTATAAGACGAGAAACTAGTTCTAAGATTTGGAATGTGTGTTTAAAAATTAACATAGCTTTCGGATAAAAAGTCACAATAACGTGGCTGAAAAATGTTGACCAACCCCCACACTAGAAATTCAAGAGACGACAACGTTTCAGTCCATCCTGGACCATTATCAAGTCGATTGTGGTCCATCATTACAATAGACTTAAAATGGTCCAGGACGGACCAAAACGTTGTTGAATCTTCAATTTCTAGCGTGCTTTGGTCAACAAATTAATTTTCCTTTCATAATTCTGACTTTTTATAGAATGATATTTTAAATATCATTCTTACCAAAGAAAGTATGCAGTTACCAATGTTTGCAGTGGTTAATGTGTGATGAACTACTGCTGATACAATTTTCTTGGAAGGGTCCAGGATGGACTAAGACATTGTCACTTTCCTTTCATGCGCGTGAGTTGGGTATTTTTGTTTTTGTTTTTTGTTCAAGTTATTATGGCACACTGCATGTTTTCTTTATTATTATTCAGGCAGTTGGTTCATACATAAACTTGTATATATATTTTATTTAATTCTTTATACTGTATTTAAGAATATATACTGCATTGATTTGGGAAATTTTAATTTGTATCCATGTGAGTTGACAGGATATTACAAGAAATTAGTAAATAAAATATGCCATACAAAGATACCAATACAGTACTTATCAACGAGGCTTTCTATCACGTTAGTGTATATATATATGATTACTGTATTTCTGATGTATTTTTAGGATTTGTCATAATTACATATTATCCATATGATCATTGGTGCATTGTGCCCATGACCAATCGTATTACTGTCATTACTTGGAAAATGTTGAAGCGTTGATTGATCAAATTTGTAATTACTGATCATGTAATGTAATTCTTTCAAGAATTTATAAATATATATGTAAATGTTTGTCAAGTAGTTTACAGTGATCCAGTTACTTATGTGTGAAAATAAGTTATGATATATGGAAAACAGATTAGTATTTTCTGATGTAGAGCAGCGAGTTGTGGGTTTTATTGCTCTGGTCGAGAAAGAAATGCAGCTTATAATTACAATGAACAACCAATTATGCACAAGATAGTTGTCATGTGTCTTCAATGAAAACTATAGCCATGAGCAAGGGAGCCGGTCGGCCGAGCGGACAGCACCCTGGACTTGTGATCCTGTGGTCCTTGGTTCGATCCTAGGCGCCGGCGAGAAACATTGGGCAGAGTTCCTTTCACCCTATGCCCCTGTTACCTAGCAGTATAATAGGTACTTGGGTGTTATTCAGCTGTCACGGGCTGCTTCCTGGGGGTGGAGGCCTGGTCGAGGACCGGGCCGCGGGCACACTAAAAAGCCCCGAAATCATCTCAAGATAACCTCAAGATCTCAAGAAGATATTTGCAAGAGGATTTTATCGGCATAATTCCCCCTTTTGATTTTTCTCTAATGTGTATAAATCTTGCGGTTACCTCGCTTCAACTATACGTAATGATTCAAATTTGATTCCAGAATTTGGACTTGTTTCATAAGTGGCCGATTGTTAACTGACAGTCAAGTGCTCGGTGCCATAATTCTGTCCTTTGGCCGAACAAACAGAAAATACGCATGTCTTCAGTGTAATGCAGTTTGACTGAGAACGACGATTCCATGCCTTAAGTGCCCTAGGGAGTCTCTGAGAGATGAAAACCGTCCTACATACAGATTAGCTAATGGGAGGCAAGCATTCCTTCTGGCTTCTCATGTCATAGGCTTGTATGGGTGAAGCATAAGCTGTGTGACGTCACCAACACTTCATTGCTTATGATTGAAGACCACTTACATTCGAAACACCCAAGTATTTATCCTGCATTTGGCATTCTTAAGTCCCATGCACTCTGGGTAGATTTCCCATCACATGTATACACCACATGTATGTGACAGCTGGGAAAATCAACCCCTCGGTTATTGCAGTTAAAACTCATAAGTCATCCGAAGGTCAGAAAATAAAATGAGGGGGTATTAATTCTTATAAAGAGCTGTATCAATTCATGCATATTAATTAAGTGCTTGGTGCTTTTCTAAAGTCTCAAACCATATTGGCAAGAGCTAAGTATGTGTTTAGCTAGGTAGGAGTAAAGCTATTTGTACATTGGATTTTCAAATATTTTTGACAAGGTGTGCAGGATTGATATTGGTCTAAAATCGTTGATTTCAATGAGAACACAACTTTTTATGAACTGGGGCTACTCTACCCTTATTAAGAATATTAAAGGCAGCTTGGAGTTAGTGGTACATTGTAGAGCAATGCTATGGTCGGAGCTATAACACTTGAAGCATTTTTTTTTCTAAATTAGGACAGTACGATACTAAATTATGAGTATTGGACAATACTCCTGGAAACGCGCTCTTAGCTCCAGGCCTCGCACAAGCTCTCGGCTCCAGCCACCTTTAGCACTATCCTACTTGATTCTGCCATCATCACCGACTCCAGCAGCATGTAAGTGATCCTCATCTCAAGCTATGGACTGCCCAGGGAAGGCTTAAAGTTCTAGTTGGGCAGTGTGTGTGTGTGTGTATATACTGTATATATATATATATATATATTATTAAATATGACCGAAAAAGTAAGATTAATAATTCTAACACGAATTTTCTCAATCTTTCGTACATTTCTTTTCACTGTTGGAGGTAATTCAAAAATCAATTCTCCAAAATTCATTTTTATTTCTAGTCTGACGCGACACTTGAGCGCGTTTCGTAAAACTTATTACATTTTCAAAAACTTTACACATACACAACTGAATAGAACTTACATATCTCCGATTTGTTTATATCTACACCTACACCACAACTATATTCTACCCACCTCAAGACTCCGCTCCAATATAGAAGCATCAAGAAATATGGACCAATAGGCTTTCTACAATCACTTCCATTTCAATACCCATTGTTTCGTGTTCTGTCTTGTGTTGATGAAATTAATACCCTATTAAATACCACCTCACCCCATCCACCTCACTCAAATGTAGATATAAACATATCGGAGATATGTAAGTTCTATTCAGTTGTGTATGTGTAAAGTCTTTGAAAATGTAATAAGTTTTACGAAACGCGCTCAAGTGTCGCGTCAGACTAGAAATAAAAATGAATTTTGGAGAATTGATTTTTGAATTACCTCCAACAGTGAAAAGAAATGTACGAAAGATTGAGAAAATTCGTGTTAGAATTATTAATCTTACTTTTTCGGTCATATTTAATAATATATGTCTACAGGAAAGACTGCTACCAAAATATACTAATATATATATATATATATATATATATATATATATATATATATATATATATATATATATATATATATATATATATATATATATATATATATATATATATATAAATAAAAAGGGAAGGGAGTACCACCTCTGGCTGGAAGAAGGGGGACCCATAGCCTCGGAGGAAACCACACATAACGCATTAGAGGGAATGTTTAGGTCCCCTCCAATACAGCCTTTCCATATCGCTTTGGGAGTAGGTGCATAAAACTGGTGCGGCATTGTCTATGACGGAGCGCACATAGGCTGTGTACATCATCTTAAGCACGGCAATAGAGGCTCCATGTCCATTCCAGGTCATAGCTTTCATTTGAGTCCCCCTCCCCGCTCAGCTCGTTGTCGCCGTGTGGGGGCTTCGTGGGCGGCTGCCGGAGTGTGACGCTCCTTGGGACAGTCCTCTGTCCTTTTCTAGCCTTGTGCTCCTGCTGCCGTCCTCTCCAATTCTGCTGGGCATCTTTTCCTTTTCCTTCTGTTTCGTTTTTCTCCCCCCTCTTCTCCTATCTGCTTGCCGTTTCCTGCCGACCTTTTGCTCGTTCTGGTTCTTCCCTTGGACTTCTTCTATTTTGACGCCCGGGTGCTTGAGGAGGCATACTCTTGCACCCGTAGAACTGTAGTACCCGACGTTGAGAGCGAGGGGAACCTTTTATTGTCAATCCCCCTTTCGTCACTGAACCCGATCTCGACGGACTGTCGGTTTCTTAAGGTGGCGTTTGTGGGGCGTATACTCACGACGCACCCCTAGGAGGCCCCGACAAGATCGGCGATAGCTTCTTGTTGGGTGTCCTGCCTCTAATTGTGGCTCCATGGTGGGTGTGGGGGCACATTCGTGAATGAATTTTTCTTTTCGTCAAGATGATAACCCCTGTTTCGGCTGCTTCTGGCTTACCTTCTCAGGCTTGTGGGGTGGGCGACCAAGCCCCCGAGTCGGTCCGTATTGGAAGACCGGGCTCTGTAGCCTCCGCTGCTTTGGGCCCCGACCTTGCTCCTCTTTGGCCTCTCTGACTCCTTCCCCTGGCTCCCTCCCTCCTCTGTGGTTGGGTCGAGCCCCAAGCCCCCAGTGGTGACTACCTCGTCCCCTGGCGCGGCTCCTTCTCTAGTTGTAACTACTGCGCCTTTTAACCCCTCTCTGGGGGTTCTCACCGCCGTCCTCGTCACGGCCGCCCTTGCTCGATTCCTTCCAGTTCTGCTACCTATCAAGCCTTGTTTGGTCCCGCTTCGTGGGCCAAATATTTTGATCTCCTCCCTCTTGATTCTGCGCCTCCTGACGATTTCTCCCTCCATCGACGTCTCATTGATTCCGTGGATGCCTCCATTACTTTCAACCCCACTCGTCTCGGTACACGTGTCGTTGCTCCTCCTTCTCGGGATGCTGCTTCCCGCTTGGCTGCCTTATCCTGCCTTGGCGAGACCCCTGTTCGGGTCTCGAAGAACGCTCAGTTGAATGCCAGTGTTGGCACTATTTTGCTCCCGCCCCATGTTGCGACCAGTGTTCGGGACCTGCGCGACTGCCACGACGATATTCGACATATCCTCGCTGCCCAGGGCCATTCTATTCTCCAGGTGGACACGTTTACTCGTCCCCCTCGTGGTAGTCGCCGTCAACCCCTCCGGGTTGTGAAGATTACCTTTGATGGTAGGACCCTTCCACCCTCTGTCATTCTTGCTGGTGCCAGGTGCTCTGTCCAGGAGTACATTCCTTCTCCTCGGCTCTGCAACAAGTGCTGGAGGTTTGGGCATGGTGCCCTCCGCTGCTCCGGGACTCTCTCTCTCTGTCCTTTGTGTGGTGGCGAAGGTCACTCTAAGTCGGAGTGCACTTCTCCCCAGGCTCGTTGCCTCAACTGCGGTGAGGCCCATCCTACCTTCTCCCGTGCGTGTGTCCATTACAAGCTTGAGGCAGCCGTCCTCAACCTGAAGCACCGGGAGCGTTTATCTTTTCCTGAGGCGAGGCGCCAGGTTCGCCGGCTCCCGCCTTATGCTAATATCTCTTATGCTCGCGTGTTGCGCTCTTCCTCTCCTCGTCCTTCCCGCCTTCCTCAGACTCACAACCGTTTCCGGGCCTTGGACCCTGATGCACCCACTGCCCCCTCCTCTGTTCCTTTGAGTTCTCTCCCGAAGGATCCTCCTCCTGGTCCTCTGTCTGGGGTTCCCCTTCCTTCTACCCAGTCTGTCGTGTCTTCTGTGTCTTCTTCCTCGTCCCCCTCCGATCCTCCTTCCCATCCTCTTCCTCCATCTATCGGCTCTCCCCACCGCCTGTCGGTGCGAGCGGATGTCCATCGCTCTCCTAACGGCCGTCGTGTGTGCTCTCGTTCGGCTTCTCCTGTTGAGACACTGGAATCCGTTGCCCGGTACGTAGTTGCTGGGACACCGGTCTCTTTAAGTCAGAAGCGTAAGCCTGGCTCCTCTCCTTCCTCTTCCCCGGCGGGTAAGAAGGCTTCGCTTTCCTCCTCAGCTCCTCCTCCTGGCTCTGTTGCTCCTTCCCCTCCCGTTTCAGTGCTTGCGCCCCCTGTTCCTGCTATGGAGGTTTCTTTGGCCCCTGCTTCCCTTTCGGTTGCTGCTCTTGCTGGGGTGCGCTCCCCTCTTTCTACTCCCCCTCTTCCTGCTGCTGTCCTTGA